TATATATATATGTATATATGAAAAATATATAAAAAATGCATGTGGGTATTCAAATGAAAGCTCTTGATGATTGTAACATCAGGATGAGCTTATATCTTTAAAAATGTCAATATTTAAAAAAGTTCAGCATTTAATAATGCAAAATTTTATTTATTTATAATTTACAAGGCGGCAGTCACATAGTGACTGCAAGGTTGCTAGTTATTATTATTAATATAATAAATATTATTTAGATTTTAAATATTTGAAATTTTTACAAGGTCATCAACCCCGACAAAAAAATCTAATATTGAATTAAAATAAAACCAAGCAAAATAAAAAAAAATTTTTTTGACCGTCTAATTATTTATAAATAACGGATTAAGTTTAACAATTTATGAAAAAGTATGTATCTACGGAATCGCCAGAAACAATTGTATGGGTTGCGTCTCCACAGATACAGTCTTGCGTAAAAATTATGGATTACTTAGCTACAAGCTCATATACTTTTGCGACGCGTATAATCTCTAATTTTTTGACAATATTGTACCTACTATGACAACTTTCTTAAAGTTATAATTTTTATTAAATATTAAAAATAAAAACAAACCTGAATCTAATTTTTTCTTTAATTCATAACTAATAAACTTAGTGTCATAAATATTAGGAAAAATTCTGTTAATTTCCTTCTTGAAGTCCAGATAATTTTGCGGCAATGGCCTGTAAAATTGCTTATAAATGAACATCAAGTCCAAAAGGACATTATGGCCGATAATTGGCTTCTTCAAGGCAACAAGAAGCTTGAACACTTTGGTAAACCCTAAAAAGTAATCGATTATCCTCTTCTCGAGGCTTTCATTATCAGCTTCTTCGAGAGCTTGTCTCGTCTCAGCATCTACTTTGATCACTACAATCTCAGTTCTTCCTTTTGATTCAGTCCAAATTGACTTGAACATCGATCTTAACTCGCGCTGGATGTAACATTGCTGCGCAATATTGTTACAGCTCAATTCAATTGATTTCTCAATTGATTTCGTGTCTTTCACCCATTTCGCTACACTGTCAATTGCAGTGGAGAATATTGCTTCGTCGCTGAAGTTTGTGAAAATCGCGTGATTGTTCACATAGTCATTTTCTTTTAACGAGTCTCTTAATTTCTTCTCCTTTTCTTCATCCAGGTACGAAATTCCATCGTAGTTTAACTAAAATTACTAATAATTTACTATCTTTGATTTTAAAAAATGAATTAAAAAAAAATGGGACTAACAAAATTTAAAATGAGAAATTTTTTTATAATTTTATAGCAATTAGGGTAAATGCACCAGTTGTTGACCGGTCACCAATTAGTTGACCGATGTATAAAAAAGTTAATTAATTAATATTTTACAAGGGTTTTTTTTTCTTAAAGTATTAAAATAAAAAAATATGGCATTTAATCATCATAATAAAAAATTACGCAATTAATTGCGCAGTGATTATAGATTTAAAAAAATATTCTGAGTTTGTTTACAACGCAACCAGCCATAAAGCGGTCAAAAATAACTACCGTACAATTGGAGAGTGAGTGCATTTCATAATTAATTTAGTGATATTTATCGGCACAATATCAAATATTTTAGTTTTATTATGTTAATGAAAGATCAGATTCCAACTTTTTTGAAAAAATAAAGTTAAATTATAAGTTTCAATATTATTTTAAGACCGGTCAACTATTGGATCCATCAGAAGCCCTTTACCCAGTAAAAAATTCATTCGATCATTTATTAGACCCTCTGATTTTATCACAATCCAAATAATGACCGTATATTTATAATACTAACTTATTCTTAACTTCAAAATTAAATCTGTCAAGTGTTTAAAGTACTTAAGTCATTCAATATTTTGTAAATATAAAAATAATCATTATAAAAAATGTATATTTACAATTAAAATAATACTTAAAATCTTTTTTGATTATTAAATTTTATTTTATTCTAATTTTTTTAGTGAACGGTTATATCAAACAACGAATTATTAGAAGAAAAAAATGCTAAGCAATTAAAAAAATAAAAAAAAAAGAGTTACAAGCTAGTAAAAAAGCTTTAATTGAAAAAAAAAAAAAGAAGGAGAAGAATAAAAAAATTTCAAGTGAATCAGAAGAATTATCATCATCAAAATGAATTTGTGATTATTAGTGACCTAAAAAAATGTGACTTTATGTTAATTATTGATATTATTTTATAAAAAAGTACGATTTAAAATTATATTATATGTTTAGTTTTGTTAAAGATGTCGTAAATACTTGAAAAGTACTGCATAAATTTAATTACATAAATGTAGTTTACAAAATTACTTATAATTATTTCAACGGTCAATTAATTGGAGAACGGTCGGTCATTTATTAGGTTTCTTCGGTCAATAATTGGTGATTTAAAAATTTCAAGATTCAAATAACAAAATTAATATAATTTTGTCAATTTTTATTATAAATAGTTATTAATTATTATTAAATAAGTATTTAACTTTAATAAAATCCATTATAAATTGGTTTTAGTAGGTTAATAGATTTTTTATAGCTTAGCACAGAAAAAGAAAACCTTATTCGGTCGATAATTGGTGCATTTACCCTACAATAAAAAATCATTTAAAAATTTTTATCTTTAGAAACTCTAAAAAATTATAAATGCAATTTTTTAAAAATAATTTTCTAGACCTAGTA